TAAATAATAAAAAATAAATAAAAAACACATCCTGGGAGTCAGCTGAGCAAAATCTTAAAAGTTTGAAAAGTCTGGATTTGTTTAACTGTGAGATCACAAACCTGGAAGATTACCGAGAAAGTATTTTTGAACTGCTGTAGCAAATCACATACTTGGATGGATATGATCAGGAAGATAATGAAGCACCGGACTCAGAAGAGGAGGATGAAGATGGAGAAGAAGATAATGGGGAGCTGGTGAGATGGCTCAGTGGTCTAAAGCACCTACTTAGAACAAGCTAAGCTAAGCAAAAACACTGGGACCGCGGTTCAATCCCCAGCACCACATGCCAGCAGCCCCGCCCCCTGGTGGGCTGAACTGGCCACACACACACACTAAATAAATAAAGTTATATTTAAAAAAAAAAAAAAAGATAATGAAGATGAAGTTAGTTTCCCAGATTGGGATGAAGAGGAAGACGAAGACGAGGAGGAGGAGGAGGAGGAGGAAGAGGCTGGCTCGGAACTGGGGGAGGGAGAAGTAGTAGGCCAGTGGTACTTGATGAAAGAAGAAATTCAGGATGAAGATGATGATGACTGTTGAAGAAGGAGAAGAGGAGGAAGAGGAAGAAGAAAGTCTCCAGGGGGAGAAGAGAAAACGAGAAGCTGAGGATGATGGTGAGGAAGGAGACGACCAGGTTGCTCGGTGCTCTGGGTGGGCAGGCGCACGAACACGTCTCTGTTTCCCCCTGTATGATAGCTCTTCCTGCAGAAGATGATGTGTAACTTTTTATAGGAAAAGTGTGGTTTTACTATTTTTGCCTTATCATTCCAATTAAGGTTTACTAGTCTGTTAATGATCAGATTGTATGTAGAGAAAAATTTCCATTGACCCCTCCCACCATTGTGAAATTCTCTAGTAATTTATTTAGAATCTTAATTTTTCTAATTCAAGCACACTGTATTAGTAATTTTTAGCCCATAATTAAATAAGATTACTTTTACACACACACACACACAAAAAATAACACATCCTGGGGCCGGCCAGAGAGCTCAACGGACTAAATCCCAGCGCTTGGGAGGCTAAAAACAGGAGAATCACTCTGAGTCCGATCTGCATAGTGAGACCTGTAGACCCCCATAGACACTGACCTAAATATATTAAAAAAGAAAAGAAAAAATCACGTCCTGGGTGGGTAAGATAACTCAGCAGACTAAGCCCACCCCTGGGCACACTGAGCCAGCCCCAGAAAGCAGGCGTGGGAGCGTGTGTCTGTAATCCCACTGCAGGGGAGGCTGAAAACAGATCACTATGAGTCTGAGCTGGGTGGGTGGTGAGACCCTTTACCAAATACATAAAAAATAAGTAAATATTAAAGAAGAAGAAAAGAAAGAAAACATGCTGTCTGACTAGGATCAAGTAACCAGAAGAACATATTTTTGATGTTTTTATTGTTCAAAGATGCAGCCAGTTGCCCACTTTAATAAAATGTCCAGGAATGACTGGCTTCTCTTGTTTGCAGCGTATCAATCCCTCCGCGGAGATGGTGATGATTGACAGAATGTTCAACCAGGAGGAGAGAGCATCCCTTTCCCGAGACAAGCGCCTGGCACTTGTAGACCCTGGTAAGACCCTGGCAGGCCCTGCTGTGGCTCAGGCACTGAGGGAACTTCGGGAACAGTGTGAGCAGTCACCCTTAGGTGGGTCTAGGAAATAGAATATGAATTTTGGGGAGAAAAATCCCAGTGCTGAGAGCAGTATATGAAGATTCTAAGGATATCTCTATTCTATAAAATCCAAAGTGGAATTTTCCATTTGTCTAAGTGATTCTTCTTCCCCATTATAAAATGAAAATTCTCAATTTTTCTATATTGTTGAGAGCTAAAGCCAGAAGGTGCCTCAGAAATAATTACACCTCAGTGAAGTATCGAAGCCACTTGCTATTTGTAAGGCTCAGGGGAAAAACATCCATGGCACAGTCCCTGGCCACAGCCAGACACTGTAACACTATCGAAGGATTTATCTCCCATCCCACTATTTTCCTGCTGATTTCCCACATTTTAGGTTTGTCCATATACGCCATTAAATGGGGATACGGATGTAGTTCAGTGGTAGGGTGTGTGCTTAGCGTGCAAGGTCCTGGTTCAGTCCCCGGCAGCAGAATTAGAGTTGTCTGATTGTTTCTAGCCTCTAAAATACTATTTAAAAAAAAATTTTTTTTTTAAATAAAATACTGCTTTGTTTTGAGTCAGGGTCTCACCTATTGTTCAGGCTGGTCTGGAATTCATGTGCTAAAGTGATCCTCCAGGGGTGGGGGAGATGGCTCAGTAGGATAAGCGCTTGCCTGGCAAGCACAAGGGCCTGAGTTCAATCCCCGGTTCCGCAAAATAAATAAATAAATAAAGTGATCCTCCACCTCATCTAAAAAGTTTTAAATCAGATAACACTATAATAATTCACAAAATATAAATTCTACCTATGTTTATACTATATATAAAAGAAATGTTTTTATTTCTCCAAATTTCTTCCAGTTCTGAGTTCTGGTTCCCATTGTGCTAGGTATGGCTTTGAATACTAATATTCTTTAGCTGTGGAGGTAGCTCGGCAGTCTAAGCCCTGTCCTGGAAAGCACAAGGACTGTTCAGCCCCCGACACCACACGCCACACCAGCCCCAGAACCCTAGGCACACTGTGCGGCCACCAAGACGGCATGGTGGTGCCTGCCTATAATCTCAGCGTTGAGGAGACTGAGACAGGAGGATCACTATGAGTCTGAGCTGCATAGCGAGACCCTGTACCAAAAAAAATAAATAAAACAATGCCAGTATTTTTTCATTTAACATATCACAAGTTTAAAAAAAAAAAGTGTGGGGTTGGGTTTTTTTTTTTTTTTTATGTATTTAGTATAGGGTCTGCAGGGTCTTACTACGTAGATTGGACTCGTAGATGATCCTCCTGTTTTCAGCCTCCCCAAGCACCGGGATTACAGGCGTGCACCACCACATCCAGTCTGAATCACTGTCTCAGTGCGCCCTGGGGGTGGTGGGGGCAGGCGGGCCGGTGCCGCATGCCGGGAATCAAATCCCAGCTGCTGGCTCTGCCTAAGCAGGTACTTTAGTCCACTGAGCTATTTGGCTGGCCCCCATACCCCATATCCCATATTCCAAGTTTTTAAATCATGTTGCTTTAGTCTTCAAAATGATATTTAAGCCAGGGATCTAGCTCAGTGGCACAGTGCCTCCCTGGCAAGACCCTGAGTTTTATATATATATATATTATATAATATTATATTTATATTAGATTGCTAATTTGATAATTTAGCTTATTCATTCCCCTGCTATCCTACTATCATCTTCCTGTGGCTTTAAGTGTTACAGTTCAGCCTTGTATTTACTGTGGCTCAAGAAGTGTACGAATAGATATATGATCCTCTCCCTCAGTCTAGCAGAAGGATCACTGTGGCTTCACAAGAGCCGCAAGCCTCTCTAAAAAGGAAGGGGATAGTGTACGGGATATTTCTGTCCCTTTTTCTTAGAACCTGAGCTCTCCTGTTGCCTCCTGATATGCTGGCTGTGCCTCGTGCCGGCCGCGGTCCTGGGCATCACGTGGTGGGCTGTGCGTCCCTGTGTGGCCCCTGCACGCCCGCCTGCTGGGTGAAGCCCTCTTTCTAGAGTCCAGCTGGATTCCCTCCATAGATCTCTCACTTGAGATTTGATGAACAGTTCGTTCTCACTGCAGGTACACTCTGATTTCATAGACGTCACCAGAGCCCTACTTTATTTTCTTTACGTCCTGCCTGACAGCAGCCTGCCTGCCTCCATCCAGCTTCCCAACACCCTGAATCCTCACACACACTTCTCTGCCACCACCCTGCTGTCCTCCTTAGCACACACAGTCATGGTTTGGCCAATCACCCTGTGATCTTGACAGAGTGACAGGCCCCTCATTCGAGGTCCCGAAGACAAGTCACTGTCTCCATCCTCCTTCCCTGCAACACCTCCCCCAGAAGCAGCCAGGTTGATCCCAGCACTGACTTCTGTTTTCAGACTGTTCTAAAGCAGTCGTTCACAAGACACTCACAGAAAACAGTAGTGAGGGTGCCAGGGTGCAGCTCAGTGAGAGTATGCATGCTGAGCGTGCGCACGGCCTAAACCTATCTCCACTATGGTGGCCAGAGCAACACCACGAGATCAGGGCTAAGCGGAGCCTTCTGCCTGTTTCATTTTCCCCTCAGACATCAAGCAGCTACCTTTTCAAAGAGGTTCAGCTTCCTGCTGAAAGGTATAGTTCTGGAGCCTTGATTGCATTTATAGGGTTCTGGCCAGGCATGGTGGCACACTCCTATAATCCCAGCACTCAAGAGACTGAAGCAGTGAGGCAGGAGGATCATTGCAAGTTCAGGATCAGCCTGAGCTGCAAAATGAGCTCAAGGCCAGCCAGAACTGCATAGTGAAACCCTGTCTCAAAAGACATTTATAGGATTCTCTGTCTGTCTCTCCCTGTCTCCTTCCCATTCCCCCTCAATTACTGAGGGTGGAATCCAGTGCCTCCACAACCACACATCCCAGCTATCTTGACTCTAAAATTGAAAAAAAAAAATTTTTTTTTTTTTGAGACAGGGTCTTGCTATGCAGGTCAGGCTGGCCTTGAACTCAGAGTGATCCTCCAGCCTCAGGCTCCCAAGTGTTGGGATTACAAGAATGCACTGCCACACCCAGAAATTTTTTTTCCTTTTTCTTTCTTTCTTTCTTTCTTTCTTTCTTTCTTTCTTTTTTTTTTTTTTTTTTGTGTGTGTGTGTGTGTGTGTGGAACCGGGGATTGAACTCAGGCCCTTGTGCTTGCCAGGGAAGCACTTATTCTCTTGAGCCATCTCCCCGGCCCAGTTTTTTTTTAATTTTGAGACTGAATTTTTTATTAAACCACTGAGTTGCCTGAACTGGGTTTGAATTTTCAGTCCTTCTGCCTCAGCCTCACAGTGCTGGGATTATAGGCGTGCACCACCGTGCCTGGTAGGATGCCTTTCTTCATGGTGCTTCTGCAGGCTACAGACCAAATCTTGCTGGCTGAGGGTCTGCTGAGTCACCCATACCCTCTCCTTCTCACTAATATTCTTTCTACTCCTGTTTACAGAGGGATTTCAAGCCGATTTCTGTTGTTCCTTCCAACTTGATAAAGCTGCTCATGAAACACAGCTTGGCAGGAGCGGCCAGCACGGTGGGAAAGCAGCCAGCTCACTCCACCTGGCAGCAAAGGCCCTAGGCAGGGACCGAGCCAAGCTGAGCCTGACAGAACCAACGAATCATGACCAGTTTCTTCCAGTGCCTAATCACATCGTGGTCTCCGCAGAGGGAAACATCTCGAAAAAGTTGGAATGTCTGGGCCAAGCCCTGAAGTTTGACAAAGCAGGCTTGGCGCAGTACCGGAGTGTGTGTGATGAGAAGGGCAGCCGCAGAGACCCCAGGAAGGGCCCTGAGTGCTCCCCCAGGCCTGAGGGCCACCTCAGAACCTTGTCCCGCACAGACCATGGTGCCGAGAGCAAACTGTCCAGCATCCTTGCAGATTCACACTTGGAGATGACATGTAATAACTCCTTCCCGGACAAAGCGCTGAGGAACTCCCCAAAGAACGAAGTCCTCCACACAGACATCATGAAGGGATCTGGGGAGCCACAAGCAGACCTCCAGCTCACCAAGAGTTTAGAAACAACATTTAAGAACATCTTGGAACTCAAAAAGGCTGGGCGGCAGCCCCAGAGTGACCCAGTAGGGAGCGGCTCTGTGGAGCTCGATTTCCCCAACTTCTCTCCAATGGCTTCACAGGAAAACTGCCTGGAAAAGTTCATCCCAGACCACAGCGAAGGCGGTGTAGAGACAGACTCAATTTTGGAAGCAGCTGTAAATAGTATCCTAGAGTGTTAATAGCGGCAGTGCGCCCTCCCTCCCACTCCAGACAAGTAGCTGCTCCCCAGCAGCAGTGAGTGGAAGCGGCTCCTGTCTCCGCCTGCTTTCATCTCTCATCACAGGTTTCCTTTCTGTCTCAGCCCCGTCCTTTGTTTCAGAGCAATACTCAGCGCCGTTACAGAGAGATCCTTGAGGAAAACCGCCCCTTGGTAGAGAGCAGTCTGATAGGCCCCACACATTCAAGTGTTCTGAAAGTGCTACGGTCCTTTCTGTCTGTTAGTTTGTTTTCTATGTTTTTATTTTAAAACACTGTCACTCAGTGAGACCACAGTCCACTTGGCCCTGGGGAAAATTTTGACAATCATAAGTCACTTGAGAAGAACAGACTTATTAAAGAAAATCAAACAGGACCTATAGAAGCTACTTTTTAAGAATATCCCACTGCAGCTCCTAATTACTGTTTTTGTTTTTGTTTTTCTGCCTTGTTTCTTTTCGGGGGATTTTAGGTGTAGAAGACCACAGGGCCCTGCTCAGCCCTTGCTGAGCCCCAATCCAGGAGCACAGAGTGGGGTGCTGCTCGTTGCGTGCTTTGCCTTTTGGGGCTCCTGGAGCAGAGCTGCATGCCTGGGCCCCCGTGCTGAGTCCAGGGGCGCTCTGTTTGCAACGGCAGCAGCACGGCTCGGAATAATCCACCAGGCTACATAAAGGAGGCTGGCGCTGGGTTAAATGGCACAGCACACAGCGGGGGCGGGAAGAGAGCCGTGAGGAAGACGATGTGTATATATGTAAAAGCATACACGTTAGCTATCGCAAACAAACCAAGAGTTTTGCATTTTATAATTGGGTAGAGTCAACATACAGTGTATGTTTTTGTCCATTGCTGAGTTGTGTTTCCTGACCCTTTGTACCCGCTCCACAGCAAAGAGCCAAACACCAGAAGCACTTTCATTAGGAAACTATGTTGTAATTTTTCAGTTTAAACTTGAAGGGGACTTTGGCCTTGTTGATGCTCGTCGTCTGAGAACAGCAGTCACCCTGGCAGCAATCATTACCAAAACACAGACAAACCAAAGGTAACCAGCCGCCCATCACCGCGCAGAGCCGGGGCCCGGTTCCCCTGAGAGCCAAAGGACACACCCTGTCAGCCTCTGTGTGTGGCCACGTTCGTGTCTGTGAGCCTGACTTCCCGCTTTATTTATACTTCTTTTCAGGGAATGTTCCCTCCTTTCCTTTCTTGTACACCTGCCCCAGGTCACCCCATTCCTGTGATGGTTTCGGTTCTCCGTGTCATCGGCCCCATCACTGGAAAGCTACATGGTGGTCACCCTTCTCCTGGGGCACAGGGGTCTGCGCTGGCGTGTGTACCCTCACTCTGCTGTCTCCCTCGCTAGAGGAGCACCCACTGGTCTGCACTCTGATGTGTCCCCAAATGTGGGCACCTCTTGTCACTGTGTTGGGCAGGTGTCTGATTACCTGGACACAGCCACGGAAGAGCCACACCCTGCACCCTCCACTCGCTGCCACCCAGAGGCCCCGCCACAGCCCAGCTGGTGGGAGCAGCGTAGCACTGTCCCCCGCCCCACTGCAGAAAGGAAACCTGGGCCCTCTGGGGGCTCTACTTTTTCCTTACTTGTGCCAACATCCAAGCTGCAGGACCCCTCCTGTATTATACCCTATTAGATAAGCTGGTATTGGTAGTTGCATCTTCATGTTTGGGCAGCCCAGGTTTAACAGCTACCGGTAACCCCATGGTTTTACAAGCTCTTCTTTTAATTCAAATGGCCCCTCCTGATCAAATTCTTCTGACTGTGGAACTTTATACCCAGAAGCCTTCATGTGGACTGCTAATGAATTGCATTAATTACTGCAAATCAATGGATTTTTTTTTTCAGTACTGGGGAGCACACCCAGAGGCTGCCTACCACTGAGCTCTTTCCCCAACCCTTTTTAACTTTTTTTGTTGTTTTTATAAGATAAGGTCTCATTAAATTGCCCAGGCCAGACTCAAACTTGTGATCCTCCCACCTCAGCCTCACAAAGTGCTGGGATTCCAGGTGTGGGCCTCTGTGCCCAGCTCTGGTTTTGTTTTGTTGAGATGGGGTCCAAGTTGCCCAAGCTGGCCTCAAACTTGCGCTTCGCCCTGCCTCGGTCTCCTGGAAGCTGAGATTACAGGTGTGCACCACCGAGCCTGGCTCAGTGAATTCTTAAGAGACAAGATCAGCCGCCTGTGCATTTGCCACCTCCTCCCGTGAGTCCCCAGTCCTGGCTTTTTCCTGTACACCATCTTAAAGCATTTTTAAGCCCTACCACTTGCCCAGCAAACAGAGAGCCTAATTTACCAAAATGGAATGTGTAAAACGTGCCCTTGTAAGTTTAATTTTTACAGAAGGGAGAGTCTAGATTATGACAAATGAAGATTGCAGAAGTATTTTCCCGTCACTAGGTTGTGCCCTGGGGTCCCCCATGGTGTGGTGCCCCCTGGGGCCCCCCATGGTGTGGTGCCCCCTGGCAAGCGCAGGAGAGTGCAGCGTCCGATGGTCAAGACTCAGTTGTCTGGGTTCATCTGTCAAAGTTCAGTTTCAGAACTACATTTGTGCTCAGTAACAAAAACCTTTTTTTTTTTCTTTTTGTTGTTGTGGAAGTGTGTGAATATGTTACTACCCACTTGATTTTCTGTGTCCTTAAGTACTGTCCGAAGATGAGGCAAATTTTAAACTGGCAATTAGGAAAAAACTTTTCGTTGGGAAGAATTCAGTAGACTCTGTTAGATTAGGGAGGCCTTACAGACTGACTTGACTTCAAGAGGACGTGACTCACTGTCAGTGTGGTGTGGGCTTTATTTGCTTAAATACCTTCATTTGTATAGTATGTCTCACTTGAAATTGCTTTGTATACATTTTGTAAAAATATTTATAAAATGTTTTGTAAAAAAAAGTATAACAAATTGCAGTTTATTTTGTTATGTTGGATAAATACTGTTAAAAAGAAACCAGTCAGTAACTATATTGTTAATCCATGGTTAGGAAATGTTTAGTTGGAGATTACAAAATGAAACAACCATTGCAATACAGCCAAAGATTTGGGAAAATGTGCAACTGTGATTGTCTTGATTTTACAAATAGGAATAGCTACTTTCCCCAGGGCGGGGGCGAAAGGAAGGCTAAATGCTCAGTGGGAGTTCTGGTGAAGTGCACTTATTATGAGCAAAAAGTAAGCACCCAGTGAGGGGACAGGGTTTTATCAGGCCTTTCTCAACACTGATTAAGTGAAGTTGGTCAGTGAGGAAGTTTGGTCCTGCGTGGCCTCCATCCATACTCCTATCACGTGATCCTGGGCTGAGAAAGGACAAGGCAGGATCATTGAAAAAGGTCATTTATTTTGCTTTTGTAAGGGCAAAGGTAAAGCTAAAGGATAATTGAAGAAAACTTTTATATTAAGGCTTAGTTAAGATAATATGTTTGGGGCTGGAGAGATGGCTCAGTGGTCTAAAGCACCTACTTGAAACAAGCTTGTCAAAGCACAGGGACTGCGGTTTGATCCCCCAGCACCACATGCCAGCCCCGCCCCCTGGTGGGCTGAGCTGGCCACACACACACACAATAAATAAATGTAATAAATAATTTTTAAAAAAAAGATAATATGTTTCTCGGGACTGGGAAGATGATGACTCAGTAGAATAAGCACTTGCCTGGCAAGCGCAAGGGCCTGAGTTCAATCCCCAGTTCCACCAAAAAAAAAAAAAGTTTCTCTTGTAATTCACTTAGTTCATGCAATTGAATGGGGGAAACCTGCCTCCATTTATGTAATATCAGCCCCCTTCTAATTTCTTCCATCATTAATCTCAACTAGGCGTGGTGGCACACACACACCTCTCATCCCAGCACTGTGGAGGCTGAGGCAGGATTGCCACATATTCAAGGGCAACCAGGGTTACATAGTGACTTCAAGGCCAGCCCAACCTACATAGCAAGACCTTGTCTCAATGAAAAAACTGGGTGCCAGAGCTTTCTTGCCTGGCAAGCAGGAGTCCTGAGTTCAATTCCCAGTCCCTGGAAAAAAAAAAAA